TACTTCCAAGGACGTGGCGTAGATTTTTTTACGCGGGCTTGAAACCGAACGTCACTGCACGCCGTTGCGAATACTAAACCTCCCCCTTCTCCCTACTTTACACATTGGGGGCGGGGGGGGGGGGGTGTCAAGCAATGGGGGCAGGGGGAGGTGGGAGGTGCCTACTCGACAGTATCTGCGTACCTCCTTGGCATGTTTGTGTCGCGGTGATTGCCCAAAAGCAAAAACGAAAGCAAGCAAGAAGAATGGAAGGCTCCCCTCAAACCCCTCCGCTACAAAAATGCCAGGCCCTCCTGAAACGCACGTTTGTCTCCACCCCCGACCATGTTTCGACCACTTGGACCATCTAGCCCAACGGTTGTCGTTTTACCATGATCCTCCCATTCACTTCACCAAGCTTTCTGAAAGCAAAAAAATGTTCGGCACCGTGAATCTTGTGCTGAACTGACATCCAAGTGAATTGCCCGCCCCCCATCCCCTCCAGCCCCCCCCCCCACCACCCCCACCCGTCCAAAGGGACAGAGTCTAACCTTTGCCGCTTGGCATTGAGGCTTTTGCGTTCTCATTGTGTCCTTATCATGATCATTCTTTATTTTGCTAGAAGGCAAGAAGATATGCTTTGTCTGGCGCTTTTTCACAGTTTCATGTTCAGTGTAGCCTCAGACACCTCAGACATTGTGCCCAAAGCAAGAGCCGGAAAGGCTTGGAAGTGAAAAAACGTGGAAGTGAAAGGTGGCATATATCTATTGGGATGGGGCATTTGCAACCTTGAACAGGTCGTTTTTTCTTGCAGTCTCTTTGAAGGCCGTGGTTCGTAAACTTACTACACCCTGACCCCTGCGCTGAGGGACAGAGGAGTTTGGCTTGCACCCGAGCAGTCCGGAGTGGTACACCTGCACGAAGATGATGATCCGCAACGTCCCCGCTCGCTGCACGGAGCCAGAGATGTATGCGTATCTGAGAACCAAAACGCCAAGCAACTTTGTCCTCCAGATGCCAAAGACCAGTACATCCAAGTGCAAGGGGTACGCTTTTGTTCTGGCGACGAGTCCTCACGAAATCGCCGAGTTGGCGAAAGCTTTGTGGCAACAGCGCGTCCCAAGCAGGATGAGCAATCGCCCCTTGAAGATCCACCCTGCGGAGCATGCGGAGCCCACGGTGCCCACGGTGGGCGGTGCACACACCAGCCCGCTGCCCGTCTACTTCGCATAGATCTTCCTGCTGAGCTGTTGGGGCTCAGGAGACCAAGCCAGGGTGCCGGGTTTGTGGCGTTTATCGGGCTTGGGATACAGCAGCCAAAGGACTCCAAGACCCAAGAGCCCTTACCCAAAATGACCCAAGAGCCGAGGAAACTTGCTAGCACCTCCAAGCCCCTGCCCTAGGGTTCAGGGTTTAGGGTTTAGGGCACCCCAAAACAGAAGGCTGAGGGGCCTTTTTAGGGGTTCAGGTAGCAAAAGTTGGGGGCTGCAAGATTTGTGGCCGACATAGAGGCGAATTGCTGCCCAAAGATGTGTTCAGGCCCATGTCACCTTGAAGGGTCTAGGGTTTAGGGTTTAGGGTTTAGGGTTTAGGGTTTAAAGTGCAAACATGTAGAAGGTTGAGGAGGTGTTGCGCTTGTACACTTAGGCTTGGAGTCCCAACAGGCCAGGGGGCATGTGCCCATGCAGAGCGCACGTCAGGCTCCAGCTCTCGGATAGGGCTTAGGGTTTAGGGTTCTTAGAAACCCTGTCATTACGTGAACCGTGCAGTGGAGAGCTGGAGCCAAGGACCTTCCTTAAACCCACGCCGTCGCCTAAACAGCTAATCTTAAACCTTCACACTGGACAAAATGTTGCATCTGTGACTCACTGAACATTTTCACGAGCGCGGCTCGCGGTGACGTGTGGAGGGTGTCGGCCCATCTTTTAGTCCGTATTTTGGCGCTGGCACTTGCAAGGCCAATGTGGTTTCCGCTTCGCGTGCCGCCACATGAGCCAGTGTCCATATGCCTCCCTCGGGTCATACTGAAGTCTTCACGATGGTTAGCATGTTCTCACATTCAGTGAGGTAAGGGACGTATTGGGCGTTAGGGAGGCGCACGCGAAGTTTTGTGTACAGTTGGCTTCGGGGTCTTGGCCCATAAAGAGCACTGAGCCCCTGAGCCATGAGCTACAGCAGCGATCAGCGATCAGGCTGCTCAAACCCTACCGGCATCTTCAAAGGCCGGGCGTGAAAAGTTCGGGGCCCTGTGTGAGCTTTAAGGAGGGTTTAGGGCTTAGGGATTAGGGTTTAGGGTTTTATAGGGTAAGGGATTTCAGCGTCTCCTTTTGCCCTTTGCCCCTGAGAAGTCCATGAACCAGTGCAGCAAACAGACGTACCCGGTAACTTTCTACTTAGTAGTAGAGTAGGCTCTCTGTAAACTTTATAAACCCGTTTGCTTCCGGTGCCTGAGCTCTACTGCGTCCCCTCAACCGCTTTGCGAAAACTGGGGGCTCGAGCCAGCGAACAATACTGGGTGGGTTCCTTCCCGTGCGCTTCTGCTGCCCCTTGGAGGAGTCTGTTTAGGGTTTCTATAAGGTTTAGGGTTTCGGGCTTAGGGTCCAGGGAACGGGTTCAGGGCTTGGGGGGGGGGGGAAGCCATCTCAGAGACAGTCCGCTACAGCGGATTCCATTGCATGAGGCCAGATGCGGAGGGCCCGTTGTGAAGTTCACCAAGCGAGAAAAGGAGCCAATAGGAAGCCCTAAGCCCTATGTCCCTACACTCTCACACCCCCCCCCCCCCCCCCCCCCCCACCCAAACTTCAAAGCAGCAGTTTGGGCACCTAGTACACCCTAGCTGAGGAACCACACAGCGATCGTCATGGCACTGGGCATGAAGATGATTGCTGCTGGGTGTGGCATTTCGGTTTCAGGGCGACCCAGAGTAGATCCCCTTATCTCCTATTTTTCCGGGTTTATAATTAGGTATTGGTCTCGAATCTCTTTGAACCTGGAAGGCTCTTGCAGTCCTAGCACGCCGGTTTTGGCGTGTTCGCGGCTTGGGTCGCCCTCGTACAGTCCAAAGCCCCCCAAAATCCCATGTAAGCCCTAAGCCCAAACACCCTAAAGCCCTAAGATCCTAAAACCATGGCACCCTAGGCCATGAAAGCCCTAAGCCCCGAAAAAGCCCTAGTTTCCTCGGTGGCAAGGCAAAGTCGGAGCCTGTGCCCCCTTGAACCCTGAACTTTGAACCCTAAACCCTAAACCCTAACCCCTAACCCCTAAACCCCAAACGCCAAACCCCAAACCCCAAACCCCAAACCCCAAACCCCAAACCCCAAACCCCAAACCCCAAACCCCAAACCCCAAACCCTAAACCCTACCCCCCCTCCCTTGAGAACCCTCTAAAGCGAGCCAAGGATGCAGAGCTCGACCTTCTCCCGCTCTCGAAATTCTGGTGTGCCCTGGCGGTGCCTCCTCCACCAGGCAGGAGCTGAGGTTAGGGTTTAGGGTTTAGGGTTTAGGGTTTAGGGTTTAGGGTTTAGGGTTTAGGGTTTAGGGTTTAGGGTTTAGGGTTTAGGGTTTAGGGTTTTAGGGTTTAGGGTTTAGGGTTTAGGGTTTAGGGTTTAGGGGTTTTGGGTTTTGGGTTTTGGGTTTTGGGTTTAGGGTTTAGGGATCCTTACTATCATCCAATTTAGGGTACTGATAACTCTACTTATAACTTGGGGAGCCCCTCGGGTTTTTGGGTTTTGTACTGACTCTCCGGCAAGCGGAGCCTGCGGGTGCGGGGCGGGCTTCTTTAGCCAAGTAGCTCAGGGTTTAGGGTTCAGGGGCCGAATGGCGTGGTGGCAAGGGGAGTCACTTGCGAGCCTGTCCGAAACTGCAGCTTGAAGTGAACCACATGCAATTTCTGGGGTTATGAGGTCCTATTGGGTTAAATAAAGGGTAATCGCTGCGATATACATAACTAGGACTCACAGGGTTTAGGTTCCCTTCTAAGCCCACTAAGCCAAAAGTGGCACCGTTTTTGTTTCTACGTTACTCTCAGGTCTAGTGACCCAATCTTCATTAGGGTAGTCGCATGGGCCCTTAATATGGTCCTTTACCGCCCTTAAAGGCTTCTGATGTATGAGGGGCATATAAGGGTTCCCCTTCGACGGGCCCATCATGCAACTACTAAGTATTGCACCCAACGCCTGCAGCAAATCTCTTGATCAGGGTTGGAGCACCTCCAGCTTGAGTTGCTCGATGCATTTGCGACTTCGAAGACCCCAGAGGTACGCCGGGGACGGTCCGGGGCCTAAACCCTGAAACGAAACCCTATACCCCATAAACCCTAGACCCTAGAACAAGCCTGCGCGGCTAAAGTACTATTCCGACCCCAAAATGAAGCACCTACCCACAGTGGGCATCGGATTTGCGGAGATGTTCAGAACAAAGCAAGTTCCAGCTGTAGCGGCTTGAGACTTTTTCTATTATAGGGTTCTTAGGGGGGGGGGGGGTCATGGGGGGGCGTAGGTACCTAGGGAACCTTAGGGCAGCTTTGGGGAGTAGTGGGGAGCACTAAGGAACCTTGGGTTAATTGCCCCCCTTGTCCCCCGCTCCCTTCTTTAAGAACCCTTTTTTTTGGGGGGGTTCTTAAGGGAGGGGGGGTTCATAGGGGGTAGGTACCTAGGGAACCTCAGGGAAGCGTCGGGAGCTTTAGGGAGTAGTCCGACCCTATGATTTAGGCTGCCGGCTTGACACCCTGCCGCCCACAGACGGGTTAGGGCTTTGACTTGCAAACGAGAAGCTAGTAGGGCACTTTTCTGGTTCACTAATGCCGCCAGAAGTCGTAACGATGGCGTGCGTTTGCAGGCGGGCATGCGACGCCTTGAAGCATCCAGTTGGTGCAGCTTGGCTAAACCCTACACCCTAAACCCTACATACCCTAAACCCTACATACCCTAAACCCTATAGACCCTAAACCCTGCAGTCCCCCTACTTCCAAGGACGTGGCGTAGATTTTTTTACGCGGGCTTGAAACCGAACGTCACTGCACGCCGTTGCGAATACTAAACCTCCCCCTTCTCCCTACTTTACACATTGGGGGCGGGGGGGGGGGGGTGTCAAGCAATGGGGGCAGGGGGAGGTGGGAGGTGCCTACTCGACAGTATCTGCGTACCTCCTTGGCATGTTTGTGTCGCGGTGATTGCCCAAAAGCAAAAACGAAAGCAAGCAAGAAGAATGGAAGGCTCCCCTCAAACCCCTCCGCTACAAAAATGCCAGGCCCTCCTGAAACGCACGTTTGTCTCCACCCCCGACCATGTTTCGACCACTTGGACCATCTAGCCCAACGGTTGTCGTTTTACCATGATCCTCCCATTCACTTCACCAAGCTTTCTGAAAGCAAAAAAATGTTCGGCACCGTGAATCTTGTGCTGAACTGACATCCAAGTGAATTGCCCGCCCCCCATCCCCTCCAGCCCCCCCCCCCACCACCCCCACCCGTCCAAAGGGACAGAGTCTAACCTTTGCCGCTTGGCATTGAGGCTTTTGCGTTCTCATTGTGTCCTTATCATGATCATTCTTTATTTTGCTAGAAGGCAAGAAGATATGCTTTGTCTGGCGCTTTTTCACAGTTTCATGTTCAGTGTAGCCTCAGACACCTCAGACATTGTGCCCAAAGCAAGAGCCGGAAAGGCTTGGAAGTGAAAAAACGTGGAAGTGAAAGGTGGCATATATCTATTGGGATGGGGCATTTGCAACCTTGAACAGGTCGTTTTTTCTTGCAGTCTCTTTGAAGGCCGTGGTTCGTAAACTTACTACACCCTGACCCCTGCGCTGAGGGACAGAGGAGTTTGGCTTGCACCCGAGCAGTCCGGAGTGGTACACCTGCACGAAGATGATGATCCGCAACGTCCCCGCTCGCTGCACGGAGCCAGAGATGTATGCGTATCTGAGAACCAAAACGCCAAGCAACTTTGTCCTCCAGATGCCAAAGACCAGTACATCCAAGTGCAAGGGGTACGCTTTTGTTCTGGCGACGAGTCCTCACGAAATCGCCGAGTTGGCGAAAGCTTTGTGGCAACAGCGCGTCCCAAGCAGGATGAGCAATCGCCCCTTGAAGATCCACCCTGCGGAGCATGCGGAGCCCACGGTGCCCACGGTGGGCGGTGCACACACCAGCCCGCTGCCCGTCTACTTCGCATAGATCTTCCTGCTGAGCTGTTGGGGCTCAGGAGACCAAGCCAGGGTGCCGGGTTTGTGGCGTTTATCGGGCTTGGGATACAGCAGCCAAAGGACTCCAAGACCCAAGAGCCCTTACCCAAAATGACCCAAGACCCGAGGAAACTTGCTAGCACCTCCAAGCCCCTGCCCTAGGGTTCAGGGTTTAGGGTTTAGGGCACCCCAAAACAGAAGGCTGAGGGGCCTTTTTAGGGGTTCAGGTAGCAAAAGTTGGGGGCTGCAAGATTTGTGGCCGACATAGAGGCGAATTGCTGCCCAAAGATGTGTTCAGGCCCATGTCACCTTGAAGGGTCTAGGGTTTAGGGTTTAGGGTTTAGGGTTTAGGGTTTAGGGTTTAGGGTTTAAAGTGCAAACATGTAGAAGGTTGAGGAGGTGTTGCGCTTGTACACTTAGGCTTGGAGTCCCAACAGGCCAGGGGGCATGTGCCCATGCAGAGCGCACGTCAGGCTCCAGCTCTCGGATAGGGCTTAGGGTTTAGGGTTCTTAGAAACCCGACTTGCTATGTCATTACGTGAACCATGCAGTGGAGGGCTGGAGCCAAGCACCTTCCTTAAACCCACGCCGTCGCCTAAACAGCTGATCTTAAGCCTCAACACCCTGGACAAAATGTTGCATCTGTGACTCACTGAACATTTTCACGAGCGCGGCTCGCGGTGACGTGTGGAGGGTGTCGGCCCATCTTTTAGTCCGTATTTTGGCGCTGGCACTTGCAAGGCCAATGTGGTTTCCGCTTCGCGTGCCGCCACATGAGCCAGTGTCCATATGCCTCCCTCGGGTCATACTGAAGTCTGCACGATGGTTAGCATGTTCTCACATTCAGTGAGGTAAGGGACGTGTTGAGCGTTAGGGAGGCGCACGCGAAGTTTTGTGTACAGTTGGCTTCGGGGTCTTGGCCCACCACGAGCACTGAGCCCCTGAGCCATGAGCTACAGCAGCGATCAACGATCAGGCTGCTCAAACCCTACCCGTATCAGTGTGCTTGAGTGAAAAAAAGATTGCCTGCATGGCAATAGGCCGATTCGGGGCCATTCTCGCATCGCTCGGTTTCTTTACGCATCGATCGGCGTCCACATTTGTCGGCCTTGTCGTAATTTTCATAGCATCTAGATAGATGGTGCTTACGTAGCGAAGTTGGTTTCTTTTCTTTGTGGTGCTTTACTGTAACTTTACATCTTTAGCCTTTTCGGGTTTATTTGGGTTTCTTAACAAGGCAGCCAAAAGCTTAATTTTTTGCTACCCCCCCTAAGTGCAGCCAAGTTTTCTATTGGCAGCTCTCACTGGGCGCATGCCCCCAAAGGCATCCCACGAGGGCGTCTCCTTGGTGAAACCATGATCTCTGTCTGTGCCTGATACTCTGTTTCAGAAGCATTCGGGGCGACTAGTTGAAGATTGAAGAGTATCCTAAACCCTAAACCCTAAACCCTAAACCCTAAACCCCCAAAAGCTTAACACATGGCTGCCATACACGCGAGGTTCCTTGTGTCTCCCTTAACCCTGAACCCTTTCAAACCCCAAACCCCTCCTCCCCCCCAGGCGAGGGGGGCCTTTTGGGATTTGGAGGGAGCACCGCCACCTCGGCAACCCGAGTTCTTCTCTTTACGACGTTTTTCTCTTGAGTCCAGACCTCTAAACCCTAAACCGGAACCCCAAACCCTAAACCAAACCCTTCAACCTTAAACCCTAACCCAGAAGCTGCAAACCCTTTTCTTTTCGACGCTCCCCGGACTGCAAGCTGCAACGCCCATTCGTAAAACCTGGCGTGGGGAGAAAGGAAGGCTGGCCTCTTTCAGCATTTCGGCTTTAGAGTGGAGGGTTTGGGGTTTAGGGTTTAGGGTTTAGGGTTTGGGGTTTGGGGTTTGGGCTTTGGGCTTTGGGCTTCGGGTGGATGCTGCCCTCCGTTGCCATCTTGGCCCGGTCAAGTTTCAAGAGCATGTCGCCTGTAACCCGAAACCCTAAACCCTAAACCCTGAACCCTGAACCCTAAACCCTAAACCCTAAACCCTAAACCCTAAACCCTAAACCCTAAACCCTAAACCCTAAACGTGAGTCAGCCCCATGCTCTGTGGATCCAAGCCCCCTAACCCCCCACCCAACCCAAAACCCGAAGCCCTAAACCCTAAACCCCACATAGCTAAGGCGATTTAGGGCGAATTAAACTCTTAATGCTATTTAAGGGGGGGAACCTAAACCCGAAACCCTAAACCCTAAACCCCAAACCCTAAACCCTAAACCCTAAACCCTAAACCCCAAATCCTCGGGGAAGTGTAGAGGGGGTTAGTAGGGAAGCCCATGACTCTCGCCACCTGCCGAGCCATGGCCGGACTGTCTATCAAAGCAGGGTTGAGGGGGTAAAAGCGGTTCAGGGTTTAGGGCTAGGGTTTAGGGGTTGGGGTTTAGGGTTTAGGGTTTAGGGTTTAGGGTTTAGGGTTTAGGGTTTAGGGTTTAGGGTTTAGGGTTTAGGGTTTAGGGTATAGGGCTAGGGTTTAGGGGTTGGGGTTTAGGGTTTAGGTTTAGGGTTGGGGGGGCTCAAAAGGGTTTAGGGTTCAGGGCCTAGGGCTTCGACTGTGTCGCGCTTTCAACAGCTTGAAGGTGTGTTGGCTTAACCCTGAACCCTAAACCCTGGTTCCGACTTTGTGGCTGAGGTTTGGGGTTGGAGGCCTGTTTGGGTTCTTCGATTTGTCTCCCTTGCATACTCTATACATTACATACCTAAGCTGAACCCTAGACCCCAAATCCTAAACCCTAAACCCTAAACCCTAAACCGGCCTCAGCTTCAATACAACCTAGAACCCTCCTCCGTTGGTCCCGCTTTATCACTATAGGGTTTAGGGTTTTTAGGGTTTGGGGGTTTCGGGCTTTGGGGTTTAGAGTTGCAGGCTGGGATGTTCCCCCTTATACGAACAGTCCTAAGCTTCAGGAGTTTTTTTGGAGTTTAGGGCTTGTTGGACAGGATCAACTTTGGCGGCCTGGCAATTGCTGGAGCTGCTACGGGCCGTGGGGGCTTGCAACCCATGGGACGGATACAGGCGATGTACAACAGCTAGGTAGGCTTATGTTCCCATGTATTGTGGTCTCCGAAAGTGAACCCCAAACGGTGAACCCCAAGAATATTGTAGGAATATAAAGGGAACATAAACGCCCTGGTAGGTACATTCCGACCACATTCCGATTATATTGTTGGGGTTCCCTGTTTGGGTTCCCATGTAAAGTCCCTGCATATAGGGTTACAAAGGGTCTTGCCCCCTGGCAGTGCAACAGAGATCGGGGTTGTGGTGCAACTGCTCAGTTCATTGCTGAAGCACCCAAGTTCAGCTTGTTCTTTCTTGTGCACAGGTACCTACGCATCTCAAACACAGGCCCCATCACCTCGGATAAATGTGCTGCAAGCTGGGACTTGTACGAGGTGACGGTCTACGACGCCGCTGGATCACGCCTGCCCGTCTCTGCTAGCAGTCCCACTGGCTCAGCATCTGGCTACCCTGCCTCCTCGGCAGTGGATGGGTCAGTTTCCACTTTCTGGGCGGGCGCGCACGACGTCGGACTAGGCTGCCCATGCTGGTCTGAATCCAAGCGGGGAGGGCAGACTCTTCTGCTGGACCTGGTTTCTCGAATTGTGATCCACCAGGGAGGAGCAAATGATCCATGGGCCGTTTCAGATCTACAGGTGCAGTGCGGAAACACCCCTGACGACTACAATGAACCTAGGCACCCTTTAACCTTTGGGGGTATTCTAATCTCTATAAAATCCCAAAGGTTAACCTTTAATTCCCCCAGGTTACTGGACAACTAAGGACCACTACAATGAACAGTACTTGGAGTTGCTAAACCCGAAACCCTAAACCTTAAACCCTAAACTAAGGAACAGAACTTCGAGCTGCAGGTGTCCCACGCTCAGACCGACATCCGCTGCTCTCCCACGGGCTGTTCCGTGCTCCTCTCGGAGCCTTTGCGGACGAAACGAACCCAGAAAGTCCACAGAACCTACTTAGGTTGTAAGTACATAAAAACTAAACCCTAAACTCTAAACCCTAAACCCTAAAATATCTATACTCCATGCAGTGCACAAGGAAGCCTGGGTAGACAACCGCTGTGTGAACACGACTACGACCACCACTTCCAGCGCCACGGTGCCTTGCAACCCGTGGGGGGGCTACCGATACTTGCGCATCTCCAACGCAGGCCCCATCTCCTCCTCATGCCATGCGAGCTGGGACTTGTACGAAGTGGAAGTTTACGACTCATCCGGAGCACTCCTGGACGTCTCTGCCAGCAGCCCAACGGGGTCGGCAATGGACTACCCGCCGGCTCGTGCTGTGGATGGCTCCTACACCACCTTCTGGGCAGGTGACCACGATGTCGGTCTGGGCTGCGCGTGCTGGCACGACGCGAAGAAAGGGGAACAAGCCCTCGTCCTCGATCTATCCACAACAATCAAGATTTCCAAGATCGTGGTCCACCAAGGTGGGGCGGAAGACCTCCTGGTTCTTAGTAGGGAATGAGGGAATGAGGGCCCTACATAATCCCTTAAAGGGTGTATATAGGGTACCTCATTCCCTCATTCCCTACTAAGAACCAGCCAGGTGGGGCGGAAGATCGTTACGCCGTGTCTGATGTGCGGATCGAGTGTGGGGACGCCTCTGAGCTCTACATCGCAGCTCTTGAGATGCCAGTGTCCAGGGAAGTCACGACCCTCCAATGTTCCGATGCTTGGTAGCCCAGTGGTACCCGTTTTTCACTTTTTTTTTGGGTTCAAGGTTCCCTTATAATTTACAGTAACCAACCCCCCAAAAAAAGTGCCCTTGTTATAATATGGTTGCTGGGCTACTCAGGATGGCGGCTGCCACTGGAACCTTTCCGCGGCCTGGGTCGAAGCATGCAGCATGCCGACCACCACAACGTCTACGACGACTTCGACGGGCGCAGCATGCAATCCTTGGGAGGGGCTCCGTGGCTTGCAATCTCCCAATTTTCTCCCTGAGCCTTGCAGCAGTATGAATACCAGCCAGATACAGTGCCCTTGTGTCGAAATATGGGCGTCAACAGGTCGGGGGAGTGTAAATCGGAGTCTCTGAAACATGTACACCAGTGCAATAGAACATCACAGCCTTGCCCGAACTTCCAAGGCTCAGTTATCTTCGCATCTCCAATGCAGGCCCCATTGCGTCGCCCTCCTGCCACGACAGCTGGGAGGTCAGCTTCCTACATGAGGGTGTAACCATGATACATGCATCAGAAAGACGCAAGCACATCGTTTCAGGCTATGCAAGCCGCAAGGCAACACAAACCCTTGCTTTTGATGCCACCCAAAAAAACCAAGGACGAACACACAAACTGGCCAACGCGAAAGAAGCATGATTGTTGTCGTCTTGAAGTTTCTGGCTTGCTGATATGATGTAGAATCAGCCCTCAGAAGCGCATACTTTTTTCTAACCCTAAGCCCTAAACCCTAAACCCTAAACCCTAAACCCTAAACCCTAAACCCTAAACCCTAAACCCTAGCCCCTTATTTGGGCAGGTTCCGAGCCTGAGGATCTACGATGGCACGTCTCAGCTCCTGGCGCTGTCCCCCAACGTTACCAGGAAAGATCCAGGGCTGGGATGCAACTTGGCAGCTCACTTTTTTTGTCTCAGGGTTTTTGGGTTTAGGGTTTAGGGTTTAGGGTTTTGATTTGTTGTGGCTGCCCAAGCTTAACAGCGCACAGATTGTCTTAAGTCTAGTTTAGAGTTCAGGGTCTTGAAATCGGTGCACTTTCGATGCTGGGCTCCTTCCCCAAAGTCGGGTGCGTCAGGCATATGACCCCTAAACCGTGGCCTGGGGTTTAGGGTTTAGGGTTTAGGGTTTAGGGTTTAAGGTTTAGGGTTTAGGGTTTAGGGTTTAGGGTTTAGGGTTTATTTGCAGGGATGCTGGATAGCGTGTCGCCAGGCGCATGAGCTTTGTCGAGCTTTAAGGTGTAGGGTTTAGGGGACTTGCATTGGAAAAAAGAGCAGAGGGTGGTCCAGAAACATGCTGTTTATGGTTTAGGCTTCAGGCGGGCCCTAAACCCTAAACCCTAAACCCTAAACCCTAAACCCTAAACCCTAAACCCTAAACCCTAAACCCTAAAGCCTAAAGCCTAAAGCCTAAAGCCTAAAGCCTAAAGCCTAAACCTAAAGCCCAGGATTTGTGTGCCATTGTGACACTGCAGGCAACTACCGGGGCACCTCCCAGTCCCTCATCTTTAGGGTTTAGGGTTTAGGGTTTAGGGTTTAGGGTTTAGGGTTTAGGGTTTAGGGTTCGGGCTTACCGTTGGCTTTCCCCCTGAAGTTGACCTGCATGATTCCGACGCCGAAGCTGGCCAACGCGTCAACACCCTAAGCCCTCCACGCTACCACGTATGGGGGTTTCCGCAAAGAGGGGTGCCCTTTTTTGGTTCTATTCCATTTGGGGTATGGAAGGGTACCTCTATTTTCGGAAAAGCCCATATCTCGGTAGGCCCTTTGGGGCATTTATCTGGTATTTACCCTTATTGGGTTGAACAAGAGGACTATACTTAGGAATGTTTTTTTTTCAGATGGCTTTAAGCGCCGCCCTGGATATCCGCGATAGCTCTCTCACCACTGAGGTAGCTGCTGGTCCGAGAGCAAAAGGGGCGGCCAGACATTACTGTCATTTTACCCTGGCCGCCGGATCACTCGAATCATCATCGACCAGGGTGGAGAGGACGGGAGAAGGAGGGTCGTCTAGCGTCGGTTTGGAGCAAGTTTAGCCGATATGGAAGTTTACAGTTTAGCCCATTCATGGGGAGTAGCGGCCGAGGATACTGGTTGGGCCGTCTTTCTCAGAGCCATCCTTTATGTGCAGTGCCTTGTTGTAGAGACCAAAGGGTCAATGTGAGTTTCTTTCAGCTGAGTCAGCCAGAAACCCTAAGCCCTAAACCCTAAACCCTTAAACCCTCCCGAACTCGAGAGCTCTGTATGCCCGGTCAGCAGAAAAATTGAGGGGCAACCACAAGTCCCCACATTTGCAACCAAGGCTCTTCTATCTTATTCTAGGCTAGTGGTTTAGGGTTTAGGGTTTAGGGCTTAGGGTTGGCACGTTCCCCCTTATACTAACAGTCCTTAATGGGGATTATAGTGCCCCCTATATAATAAGGGGGAACATCCCAAACTGGTGTTTGTTTTGGGCGTGAATGTCTGAATTCTGGCAAAGACAAACGGCGTTTTGTTTGCTAAATAGGACTCCCTGCATGCGAGGACTCCCTGCATGCGGTATCAGACATTCGTCTGGAGTGTGGCTTTGGTCCGATGGAAGTTGGTTCGAGTTGCGGCTTTCTGCGAAGCTCTTGCACATAGTGGGCCCGACCGCCTGAAGCTCCGAACCCTAAAGGCCCTAAACCCCATCTAAAGGCCTGAAACAGCCCTACGAAGGCCCCATACCAGCCCTTGCCCTTTAGGATGCCCTTATAAGCCCTCTAAACCCTACAATACCCCAAAATCCTAATACCCTAAACCCTAAAACCCTAAACCCTAAAACCCTCAAACCCTAAAACCCTCCAACCCTCAAACCCTAAAACCCTAAAAACCCTAAAAACCCTAAAACCCTAGAACCCTAGAACCTAAACCCTCCTGCTGTCCAAGGCGGCACCAGTCCCAACGCGACCGGCGCAGCCCTGGAGTTCCAGGCCCCACAGGGGCAAGGGAAGGTCGTGATGTTGTGGCTCCTGTCTGCGAGGCTTCAGTAGTGCTAGTGTCAGTGTATAGTGTTAGTGTTGGTGTTAGTGTTAGTGTTCGTGTATGCGTATCATATATATATATATATAATTATATATACATACAGACATATACATATACACAGACATGAACTCTCTGTGGTAGAACATGCAAGTGGTATACGAAACGATATAGTGTCGGTTCAGATTTTTATATCATGGTAATTTAGTCTCTGGTTTTCTTACAGCACGTCATACCGGCTTGAGAACCATGTTGCGGTAGGCATCTGGAGGTTGTATTTGCCAAACGCACGCGGAGAACACACGTACCTCTTTCACATGTGTATATGTGCAGGGTACACATATGCAGATATATACAGATTCCAGATGCATATGCATATACATACACACACGCACAAAATTGTACATATGTACATACACACACATATCGATGCATGTGTGTGTGCATGTTGCATGCCACCCTGAGGTGTCTCCAGCCTCTACCATCATTGACTGCTCCTCAACAGGGTGTGTCGCCAGTCTTTCAACACCATGGGTCGATACTCGGTGCCCAAGCACTACACCCAGCACAACACCCACCAGCAGCAGCCCGGACATTTGCAATCCATGGGAAGGTGTCAGATTCCTTCGCCTCTCGAATGGCGGCCCCATCTCTGCGTCGAGGTGCTCGTCTAGCTGGGACTTGTACGAGGTGGAGGTGTACGATGCATTCGGGTCGCGGCTCGCTGGGTCTGCCAGCAGTGCAACAGGTTCAGATGTGGACCATCCACCGCATCTTGCGGTGGACGGCTCTTACGCCACTTTTTGGGCTGGCGACCATGATATTGGGCTCAGCTGCGAGTGCTGGTTCGACTTCAAGCAGGGAAGCCAAGTTACCGCAACGGCCAGCAGAACCTTTCTGTCCGTTTCTTGAGGCTTAGGTTTCCCTATATGAACCTTATTGAACCCTAAAAGGAAAAGTTCACTATTCTTATCCCCACTTCACTCGAAAAACTGAGGCTCTGGTGTTGGATCTCTATGCCGCGGTGTCCATTTCCAGAATCGTTGTTCACCAGGGAGGGCCCACGGATGATTGGGCGATCTCTGATCTCCACATCGAATGCGCAGATGCTCTCGGCGCATACCGGTCCCAAGCGTTGGAGCTCCGCATCTCACACAGCAGAACCACGATCGACTGCTCCGCAGCTGGTTGCACTGCAAGCTTTGCAGACGACTGGGTGGATCGCAGATGTGGAGCCGGCTACCCATCCACCAGCGCCACCACCACCACCACCACCACTAGCACCACTACAAGATCGACCAGCAGCGATGTGAGCTGCAGCACCACGAGGGCTTACCGCTTTCTGCGGCTGTCCATTGCCGGGCCGGTGGTCAACGCCGAGTGCATCATGTGCGATTTAGGGTTTAGGGTTAGGGTTTAGGGTTAAGGTTTAGGTTTTTGGGTTTAGGATTTAGGGTTTAGGGTTAGGGTCACTGGTTTTACAGGTAGGCCTTATAAGGTTTTGAGGGCTTTGAGGGCCTCCAAGGTTTTTGCGATGTAGGGCTGGGCGATGTTTGTCGAATGTTTGGCTAATGCAAAAAGCCTGAGTAAGTACCAAGAGTTTAGGGTTTGGGTTTAGAGTTTAGGGTTCAGGGTTCAGTGTTTAGGGCCTTGAAGGTTTAGGGTTTAGGGTTTCCCCGCGATAAACCCTAAATAGTGCAGATCAGCAACCGCCCGGAATAACATTTCTCATAAAATTTGGTCCTTCTATCAGCTCACTTAGTACTGCGCCAGGCTGAAGTGAGTGAATCTCTTGTAGCCTACGTCGAGATGGGCCCTCCTCAGGCCCTGAACAGTTTACTTGGAGGTTCTTGGGGTAGCTAGATGAAAAGTGTGATCTAGCTATGGTAAATATACTTCTGACCCTGTTTGGGGCATATACATCATTATTATAGCGTTACTTCTAACTACCCAGGAGCCTCCCCAAGTAAACCCTACACCCTAAACCCTAAACCCTAACCGTTAACCCTAAAACCCTAAACCCCAAACGCCAAACCCTAAACCCTAAACCCTAAACCCCACATCAGCCTTAACCCACAAAGGTGCTACGCAGACTGGCACCTCGTTGAGGTGGAAGTCTCCGGTGTGGCACTGGGCCACGGTCGGAGGCTGGCAAAAGCCTCCTTCTTCTTTAGCAAACAGGAATTCTGTTGGGTTTAGGGTTTAGGGTTTAGGGTTCAGGGTTCAGGGTTCAGGGTTCAGGGTTCAGGGTTCAGGGTTCAGGGTTCAGGGTTTAGGGTTTAGGGTTTAGGGTTTAGGGTTTAGGGTTTAGGGTTCAGGCAGGGTTCTGGATCGATGTTATGTGGCGTTTGGGGTTTCAGGGGTTCCACCAGTGTGGGTGTCGGGCTCAGGGTATGGAAACCATGAGTTTCTGCGGCCTCGGTCCTATAGAACCCTCATAATTCACTTAAAACCAACAAAGGGGCACCACTACTGTACTATTCCTAGGTTACTCCTGGGCCTAAAGAAGCCCTTAACCCTTGTCTTTAGACTATGATCCCCACTAATGGCTGTTAGTATAAGGGGGATCATCCCAACCTAAACCTAAACCTTGTCTGTAGACTCCTACAGGGTCGATTAGGTGCAGATCACAGTGGGGGGGTCCAACCGTACCTGCTTCCTAGACCTAAACCCCAAACCCTAAAAACCCTAAGAGCCCCAAACCCTAAAAAAATAACAACCTAAAAAAGGCACCCGGAAACCCTACACCCGAAAACCAGAGACCCGAACCCCCTAAAACTCTAAAAACCCTAAAACCTAAACCCGAAGAGCCCTAAAAACCCTAGAAACCCTAAAAACCCTGGCCCTGTACCCCCTACCTGGGACCCTATTTACCTACAGTGTAGAAGTGTCTACCCCTCAACTAGCGGGTATAACCCCAAAAAACTGCAGGAAAAGAGAGTCCCAGGTTAACCCTAAACCCCAAACCCCAAACCCTAAACCCAGCCGAGAGAGGTTGGATGGGCTCCCCGGCGCATTGCCCTTTGTGGCGCTGTCCAGCTCAGATCGAAATGGGCAGGAGACGCCGCTTGTAGGGTTTAGGGTTCAGGGCCTAGAGTTTTGGGTTTAGGGTTTAGAGTCAAGTTGCTAAAGGGTTTAGGGCTTAGGGCTTAGGGTTAGGGTCTTAGGTTGCGTTTAGGATTGTAGGCTGCGGTGATGTACTACTGACTGTCTTGTAACCTGTAGGAACGGTCAAACCTAAAGTTCCCAACGGTTCGGGCTCCTTCCACACCAGATCGTCCAGTAGGCTAGGTTTTTTTGGGGCGATGTCAGAGGGGTTCAGTGTTTAGGGGTTAGAACCCTAAACCCTAAATCCCTAAACCCTAAACAACACCGTGGCTAGTCGGGTGGCAAAAAAAACCCTTCACAACCCTATCAAGCTTCTTGAGGCTACAAGCCTAACGTTCCAAGCTTCTCAGAGTAACTTACTTAGCCAACAGTTGAACGTTAAACTTTTTGGGTTTCCTTGTTTGGTAGGCAGAATATAGTCCCTAAAGCCGAAGCCCTCTTTGTAATTCCTTGGTTATTGGAGAAGCAAGGGTTTAGGGTTTGGGGTTTTTAGGGTATGAAGCAGCTTCCAGGTTCAAAAAGGGTCTTCTTTTGGGTACAAAGGGGATATCTGTAACCTCTGAGCCCAAACACTAAACCTTAAACCCTAAACCCTAAACCCTGACAGAGACAGGAGGAGGCCTCCAATGTTGCAGATGGCTTGAATGATACCGTGCCTCGGGCGGCGCTTAGGGGCTTTCCGGGCTTCGGGCAGCAGTGTGAAGCCCGACCCTGTTTGGAGTTACTTGGAGGTTCATGGTACTTCATGACCCGATTATAACTGTACTTATAACCCAATCTTAACCAGATTAAGGGACTTAAAGGGCTTATAAGTGCGTTGTAAGTACAGTTATAATTCGGTTACAAGTACCTTGGACTTAGTCTTCCATCTTGCTGGCATTTGTAGGGAAGCGTCGAATGCACTTCTTTGAGTAGATTCTGAGAAAATGCAAGTCACCCTTACCAAGAGCAATTGCCCCGTATATTCCCACCACAATCCAACCCACAAACAAGTGCCACCATTTCAGTTTCATGCGCCCTGCGCCTCCCTCCTGCTTCTTCATTCCTGCTCTGCTTCTGTAGAGCTAGAAGGGCTCTTGGTGGCACACTTCTCGCTCGCAGCCGCTCGCAGCCGTATATCCGGGGGGCCTCATGGTGTTGGTGTCGGACGCACTAGCATTACCCAGACTACTTTGGGGGCAACCTTTTCCTTTTTCTAGTGATAGGCTCCCTCACTTTTTTTCCGAGGTGCAGGAAGTGCCAAAAGCCAAATTCGTGCGGAACTTGCAACCTTTTGGTGATTGCTGTGTTCGTGGTTCAAGTGACTGGCATCCTGGTAGGCCTGGGCTGCACAAGGCAGCCCTAAATTGAAGGTCCATGGGTATCGGTAGGTTCATGTAGCTCTAAGCATGGTCTACATCTCCGGGTTAGGGTGGTAGCTTGCAGCTACGGGTGTCTTTCAGCCTTAAGTTTCCCGACGGTGCACACCTTCGAGACACCCAAAACACCTCGAACCAGGGCCCTAACCCCCGTGATCCTGCCCGCAATGCCGTTTCATGTTGATGTTGAGCCCCGCAGCATCCACCTCACGGACTCAGACAGCGACTTTGACGACCCGAGCGACTCCCAATCTGGGGATGATGCCCTGCCAGTTGATGTCGTGGTCATCAGCACACACGACTTACTCAGCTTCGGGGCTGCGGTGCCAGAGAGTCATCCGAAGCGGCTGTCTCCGACCGGGAATGGCTTCTACGGCAAGGTCCTTGTTCCGGCCTACCACGCAGGGGCAATGATTGGGAAGAAGGGAAGGCACCTCGCCGAGATCAAGGTTTCGAGTGGGATGAGCATGAGCATGTCAAGCACCGATGTCTTGTTTCCAGGAACGCCGGACCGCATGCTGTCCATGCACTCCGACACCAGGGGAGCTTTCATTCGCGGGGTGGATGCCATCGTCCGGCTGATGTGGCGGATATGCCGCGCACCTGGGCACGTCGCACCTGGCAGTAATTTTGTCTTCAAGCTGGCCGTTCCGAACTCCTCTGTGGGCAGAATCATCGGTGAGGGTGGGAGCAGAACACGTGAGATTCACAATACCACAGGTTGCCACGTCGGGATCAGTCCTCGGAATAAAGGCATCCAGGAGCGAGTGGTGGTCGTGCTCGCGGACTCAGATTTCAGCGCGGTGCGAGGGGTCATGGCTGTTTTAGACAGCATACAAGAGGATCCACACATACATGAGCACATGGGCTTCACGTATGACGTGAAGCTTCCTCTCGGTTGCTGGGATTGTGGCAAGCCGGGCCCAGCTGACCCCTATGCGAGGCTGATGCTTAGTCGTAGAGTAGGCAACCTTTAACCTTTTTGGGGGTATCCTAATCCCTATAAAACCCCCCTAAACCCTAAACCCTAAACTAAGGATGTCGATGGAGGAGGCACAGTTCCTGCCGAAACGATGCATCGTGGAACACCTGATCAAGGCAGCCCCGAGAGAGCTGCTTACTTCGCTTTTAGTTGAACTTTAAGCTTTTTGGGTTTCCTTATTTAGTAGGAATCTTACGGTTTAACCTTTTTTGGGGGTTTCTCTATTTAGTAGGAATATTAAAGTTTCACCTTTCTTTCCCCTTAAGTTATTGGAGAAGTAAGGATATTGGTCCGACACAAGCTGCTGGGTGGTATCGGCAGCTTGGTAGCCCAGTGGTACCCTTTCCCTTTTTTTGGTTGGTTCTGGTTCCCTTCTAAACTCACCAACCAAGAAAAGGGGTTGAACCCTACACCCTAAACCCTAAACCCTAAACCCTAAACCCTAAACCCATAACCCATAACCCATATTCTGGTTACTGGGCTACCAAGGCAAGATCCTCAAGGTGAAGACGCATGAGACGGTCCTGGCGGCTTTGGAGGATGCGTTGCGCAGCTGCCCCCAAAGGAAGCTCGGTAGGCCCTTGTGGGGACATTTTTTGTATTTTCCCTTTTTGGGTTTTAAGAGGATCATATTCAGGAATAGCCCTAAACCCTAAACCCTAAACCCTAAATTGCTTTAAGGGTCCATCCTAGGAAGGACGCGAGCAGCCGCGGCCCGAGACCAGGCTCGCTTCCCTTGCCGGTCGGACTGCTTGAGGAGCCGCAGCTCAGCACAGGACTTGACCTGCCAGTTCGTGAGACTTAGGGTTTAAGGTTTAGGGTTTAGGGTTTAAGGTTTAGGGTTTAGGGTTTAGGGCTACCCCTAAGTAAGGATGCACCCTTGGGTTTAAGATCCTCTCATTGAACAGAAGGGACATACTCGGAGTATCCCTCTTAGGGGTACGTGCTTAGGGGTCCGAGTATGACTTCCTCGATCCGCGGGGGGGCGGCTTGCGTCTCACGAACTGCATATGTCCGTGTGGACCAGCAGCAGCGAATTTCAAGTCCGCCTTGCCTGAGATGAATGAGATTCAATGACATAGGGCTTAGGGTTTAGGGTAGGGTTTAGGGTTCAGGGCTTAGTGTTTAGGGTGTAGGGTTTGTAGGGTTTGCAGGGTTTGTAGGGTGCAGGGCAGGGTTCGGAATGCAGTGCGGCAGAGGCAAGAGACGAAGCACAGTTTGACCACCTTGAGCCGTGCGCTATCTTCAGTTTCACCCCGAGGTTCCCAGTTGTGACAGAAAGCGCTCAGTCGAGATGCCGGCGTGGAGTTTCGGGTTTAGGGTTTAGGGTTTAGGGTTTAGGGTTTAGGGTTTAGGGTTTAGGGTTTAGGGTTTAGGTGTTAGCAAACTGCGCCGATTTTTTGTTGCTGCTCGGAGTTCATGCTCACGTTGTTCCGATCCTGGCCTGCAAGCTCGAGAGTCACTATCTGAACCCCTACTTGGAAGCTCATGGTACCTGATAACCCTAAGAGAAAGAGTTTAGGGTTTAGGGTTTAGGGTTTAGGGTTTGGGGTTTGGGGTTTAGGGTTTAGGATACTTGAATCCGAATTATAACAGTAGGCCACTTAAAGAGCTTACAAGTGGGTTAGAAGCACAGTAATAGTTGGGTTATAAGTACCATGAACGTCCAAGTATACCCTGAAACCATGGAGTTCTTAGGGGAGGGGTGTTACTCCCTAAGGGGCTTTTCCTTGAACCCCCTCCCTTAAGACGTCTAAACCCTAAACCAAAAGAACAAAACACCCCTTGAAAACCCAGGGTTGGGTAACCCTAAACCCTAAACCCTAAACCCTAAACCCTAAACCCTAAACCCTAAACCCTAAACTTCTGAAACATCCGAGGTTTGGGTGGGTCGAGACATCTTCGGCCTGGGTTGCGCCTGTTGGGCGGAAGGCTTGGGCCCTGGTTGCGGAGGTGTTTAGGGTTTAGGGTTTAGGGTTTAGGGTTTAGGGTTAGGGCCAGTAGGGCTCAGATTCAGGTTTTCTTTTTGTTCCCCACGGTGTGGGGTTGTTAGATTTTAAACTCGCCCGGAACTCTTCTCCTCTCCCGGAACTCTTCTCCTCGACCAGTCTACTCCTCGCTCATACCTCAACCCCAAAGTGTCCCTGGAGTGCCCAACTCTAGATATGCCTGGGGTGTCCAATCCCTGGAGTGCCCAACCCCAGAGTCTCCCTAGAGTGCCCAACCCAGAGTGTGCCCGGAGTGCCCAACTCCAGAGTTTTCCTGGAGTGCCCAACCCCAGAGTGTCACCGGAGTTCCCTGGAGTGCCCAACCCCAGAGTCTCGTGCCCAACCCCAGAGTATCTCTACCAAGAGAGGGTGCGGATGTTCGAAGTAAAATATGGTTTTGTTTTTGCGGGGTCGGGGATGTAGGATCAGTTTAGCACAAGTGCGCCCACGAGGGGTGAAAATGAAAGGTGGTCTCGCCTGGCAGGACACAGAGTGCGAGTGAGAGTGGAGGGTTTCGGGCTTTGGGGGTTTCAGGCTTTATAGGGTCTTGAGTTCAGCGCCAAGTAATACCCGTATTCTTACGTGAACCCTAAACCCTAAACTCTAAACCCTAAACCCTAAACCCTCAAGACAAAGAAATAGAAATTGTATGTGGTATCATTCGGAATTTTCCCAGGTTGTCTAAACAACTGACAAGCAGAGCTCAAACACATTCACCCACAGCGCCTAGGAGGCCAAATACTCAATTTACTTAAACCTCTGGGGCCTTCCACGCAAAGAATCCCAGGAGGCCAGCCAAGGCCGGAAGGCCAAAACAAATTACTTTAGGTTCTCAACCACCCCCTCCCTGCCGCCCAAATCCAATATCGAAAAAAGAAACTTTCGCCCAAAACGTTTCGCTCAAAACTTATTTGGGACCCAAACCCGATACAATTTCTATAAACACTAAACCCTGAACCCTAAACCCTAAACCCTTCCGTTTTGGATCTTTCACGGCTGGTATCGGGGTCTGCGGGGCTTTCGGGTATGTGGCTGCTAGGGTACTAGGGTTTTTTGCAGGGTTTGGGGGTTGCGTGCTTGAGGTTGAAGGAGGTTGAACTCACGATCCACCTCACCCCCCCCCCCCCCCCTCGCCTGCCCCGCACCAAGACACGCCTGGAATATCACATAGGGGTCGGAATAAGCACTAATCGTATTCGCTTATGGTCCCTTTATAACTTTTACTTTGGTTTCATCACCCCTCAAAACCCTATTCTAGTTATTAAGCCCACGATATTTATCAGTTTCGGCCCCCTTATAGTCCCTTTATACTTTTACCTTTTACTGTACTACCCCCCCCAACCCTATTCTAGTTATGAAGGCCTCTATATAAACGAGTTTGAGTTTGGGGTGTCGACCCAAGCCGAACTTGGAGCCACGCCAAGCCACACGTGAGAAAACAAATCCACTGTCCCGCCTTCGCCACAGCAGACCTCCTGGGATGTTCCCTAAACCCTCAACCCCAAACCCTAAACCCTAAACCCTAACCCCGAAAACCCTTGATTTGGGGAATTTAGGCTTCCCAAAGACCCCCCAATCCCGTAAGCCTACTTGGAGGTCCATGGTACTTAATAACCCAAGTATAACTGTACTTACAATCCACCTCGAAGCCCCTGAAGTGCCCTAACATGGGTATAAGTACAGTGCTAAGTACAGTTAGAATTGGTCCATAAGTACCCCGAAACCCTAGCCCTAAACCCTAAACCCTAAACCCTAAACCCTAAACCCTAAACCCTAAACCCTAAACCCTAAACCCTAAACCCTAAACCCTAAACCCTAAACCCTAAACCTCCAAGTAGGCAAAGTTGGCAGCCTGTTCCTGGAAGTGGACCTTCTTCGGCTGGTGCGGGTGACCCAGATCCTGGGCTTCCGAGCTGTCTGTTTAGGGTTTGGGGTTTGGGGTTTAGGGTTTAGGGTTTAGGGTTTAGGGTTTAGGGTTTAGGGTTTAGGGTTTAGGGTTTAGGGTTTAGGGTTTAGGGCGGTTTAGGGTTTAGGGTTTGGGGTTGGTTTAGGGTTCAGGCTTTAGCGTTTGGGGTTCCGGGCCTATAGGCTGGGATGTTCCCACTTGTCTGGGTCATTGCTGAAAACCATTTTGCTAGTTTATGAAGACTTAAACCCAAGACGAAGCAAAAATGATGATTCTTAATCATGCCCCAACCATGGTGCAGTTCTACTAACAGTCCTTAATAGGGGATTTTCGTACTTTCTGGAATAATTGCGGGGTTGGGGGGGGGGGGGGGGGGGGGGGGGGGTCCTTTGTCAGGAAGCTTCCGCTTACGTTTTTGGGTTTCGCAAAGCAGACTCGCATGTTTATGGCCTAGGGTTTAGGGGTACCCGTTGAGGGGCGAGTTCGGTTTAGAAGCTGAGTTCGCAACACAAACTCCCAACCGTACGACAGAAATGAGACCACGAGGCACATGTTAAATCGAAGCTTTGCTATGTGTGAAGGCAGGGAGGCAGAGGGAGGGACCATTTTGGACGGTGGCCCGTTCACAGGCTAAGCTTGCAGGAGGGAAGGGAGCAGAGAGAGAGAGAGGGAGAGAGCGAGCGCGCGAAGGTTCAGGGACTTCTGCCCTGTCCTCCATGCCCGGTAGAAGAAGAAGAAGAAGAAGAAGAAGAAGAAGAAGAAGAAGAAGAAGAAGAAGAAGAAGAAGAGAGAGCGATCGAGAGCAAGGGGACCCACAACAGACATGCTGATGATCAGCTGATGTTGTTGCTGTTCAAAACGAATGTTCAGCTGAGCGATTGGCGGTTTCGTGTGCAAAAGCCCGAGGCAGAGATCCCCGAGTACGAATTAAAGCAAGTTTTAGGGTTTAGGGTTCAGGGTTTAGGGTTTAGGTTTTCGGGCGTCTCGTCCCTCCAAAAGCACTTTTTCGCGTTGATCGTTGGTACTGCACATTGAACCCGCTTCGAAACCTTGGACCTAAACAATAGACCCGAAAGGTTCTTCGGTTCAGCTAGGCAGACCCTAAAGCATTCAGGATTGTGGTCCGTCAGCACTCTGATCGGTACGCCTCCAAGTTTCGGTTGCAATGCTGCTCGGCTGGTGCCTGCGCCTAGGACACCTCACGTGTCTGTGGAGGTGACAGCCCAGGACTCCAATATCCCTCGGTTATAGAATATTTCAAAAATTAGACGGGGGATCCTCATCCAATTTGAGGACTGACTCTAAACCTTAAACCCTAAACCCTAACCCTAATTTCGGAGTCTTGTTTGTGTTTTTGGGTCATAGACTCCTTTGTCCCCCTAAACTTCCCCAAAGCGTTAAACCCAAGACCTTCGAAACGGGTCTGCCGTGCAGCGCACGACGCGTTAAGCTGTCAAAAGAAACAAAAAAATAGAGAAAAATGTAATAATCCCTATATTATCCTTAAAAGGAAGAACTTCCTTGTTTGTCTTTCTTTTTTTTTCTTTGGGGGGGGGGGGGGGGGGGGGGGTTCTTAAGCAATTCGTAGCTGAAGCTGTCCCACCCAGGTACAGATAGCCTCGACCGAGCTCCTGGCGAAGAGCTCGAAGTCTCGGTGTCTTCGCGCACCACCCTCTTGGAATGTTCCTGAGTAGTAGAGTAGGCAGCCTTTAACCTTTTTGTTTAGGGTTTAGGGTTTAGGGTTTAGGGTTTTGGCGTATTCTAATCCCCTACTATTAGAATCCCAAGGGTTAACCTTTCATTCCCCCAGGTTACTGGACAACTAAGGTTCCTCCGGGGGTTGCGCAACAAGTGAGATGTGGGTCGCAGATCTGGGAGGATGCGAGAGCACCGCGCTGAATGCTGGAACCAAGTCGCTTTGTGGTGCTTTACTGTAACTTTACATCTTTAGCCTTTTTGGGTCTATTGGGTTTCTTAATAAGGCAGCTAAAAGTTTAGTTTTTTTGCTACCCTCCAAAGCGCAGCCAAGGTCGGTGCAACTTTTCTACTTTTCAACTTTTTTGCTCCCCGGCATTCTCCTGGTCAGTCCTCTAAACTAGGGTTTAGGGCTCCTGTTCTATGGACCGTCTCAGGGTTGAGGTTTTTAAGGTTTAGGGTAGTCTGGGTTCAACAAAGGGATTAGGGTATGGTTCTGTAGCCAGAATAAGGGACGACATGTTAGAGAACTGCCCAACACTTCGGGTGGCCTGTGACTGGGGAGCAAGGGGAAAATCCGTTTCCAATCCTCTGGCTTGATTATCACATGTTTTCCTCCGGGTAGGAATGTGGAATTTTCCCCGGTCCCTATCGATGCTCAAGCTCATCTGCGTGAGAACTCTCGCCAGAACTGATGTGTGCCAGTGCCACTGCAAATGCAGTGGTGGCATGGATGGTCTCAGTCGATTGGGCGCAGATTCAGAGTTAGAAGTCAAAGAGAGGGACCCTTGGGATGCACCTGTCGCAATTGTCTGGGCTCATGATCTGGGATTCCCGGGTTTAGGGTTTAGGGTTTAGGGTTTAGGATTTAGGGTTTGGGGTTTGGGGTTTAGGGTTTAGGGCTCCGCTGATTGAGCTGTGTTTGGGGTCCAGATTCTCAGGGTCTCCATGAACGTGAGAAGACACAAAACACGACGCAAGACACAGCAAGGACCAAATCAGGACAATGAAAGAAAAGCACAGTGATTTGGTTCCATAAGAACAGTTTATCCGAAGATACCACCAAAACACTAGACTCCTTATTAGAGGAACCTCCAGACTTGCTGCTATCGGCCCATCTCGGATATGAAAAAGCCGGGCGGGTTGCATTATTTTCCCGTGACCTGAGAAGCGGGAGGAGCCAGTGTTGACTAAGCATGTTCGGAGGTGTAGGGTTTAGGGTAACTGAAAACATGAGGGCCCTTGGGCTGAACCCTAACCCTAAACCCTAAACCCTAAACCCTAAACCCTAAACCCTAAACCCTAAACCCTAAACCCTAAACCCTAAACGGGGGGGGCGGGGGGTCAGTCCTTGGGGCCCTGGGGCGCAGGGGTTCGAGTGACGAGCTTTGAGTCTGCAAGCACTGGAAGTTCAGGCTTGCGTTGCTGCCTGAAGGCTCTTGGCCCTAAACCCTAAACCCTAAACCCTGAGCCCACAACTCTTATACACTGAAAGCCTAAAGGCCTAGATACTGCCAATACTCGATGCGATGCAAAAATATTCTATACATAGACTCTAGGGTTTGTATGTTGTATACATATAGACTATGTCACTATGTATACACTGTAGATTTGTATACACACACTCTCTCTCTATATATATATATGTATTCATATTTATATTCAGCTTTATATTTATATGCACATGCTATAAATAATAAGTAAATATAGATAGATAAATATAAATATATATATATATGTCTGTCTGTACTTTGTCTGCTAGATTTAAGTTAAGTCCCCGGGTGTTCCGTCTTAATTCATTCCATTCCTTTGCTGTGCATGTTCACGTTCCCGCGTATTGCTTTATGTATATCTTTACTGTCATTCGTTCGTTCTGCATTCATGTCGCTGTTGGTTCTCTTTATTTGCTTATTTCATATCAACTGATCTTTTCGGCATGTCGACCTTTGATATTTCTTATTTTTACGTTATTTCCTTTTTCTGACTTCGTGTCTTCTTTCTTTCTGTCATTATTCCTTTGTTTCTTTGTGTTCCTTCTTGATTTCTGTGTTTTTCTCGTTCTTTCTTTCTTTCTTTCTTTCTTTCTTTCTTTCTTTCTTTCTTTCTTTCTTTCTTTATGGCTCTCTTTATTGCCTTCTAATGTTGTTATTAATCTAACCTTCTGTCTTTTTTCTTTCTTTGGTGCTTTACAGGAAAATTTGGCAGGCACCTCTCAGTGAAAATTCATAGTGAGTGTCCTAGGAAAACCCAAGAATCAAGACTAGTCAAACAAAAAGAGTGCTCAGAAAACAAAAAGTAGCAAAGCCTGATAACAAAAAAGCAGGGTTTTCGGGGTTTAGACCAGATGCCCGGCGATGTCTGACAACCCTAAACCCTAAACCTTAAACCCTAAACCCTAAGCCCTAAACCCTAATTCAAGACACGCCACATGACCCCCTCCCATCCGAATAGCGTGTAGCTTTGGGATGTTCCCCCTTAGACTAACAGTCCTTTAAACGGATTATAGTACCCCGACCATATTCCCTATTGAAGACCTGTTGGTAGAAAGGGGGAACATCCCAATGTGTGGCTAAAGATGTCTCTTTTGGTGTTGTTTCGCTGTTATCAACCCGCTCCCGTTTGCCTGTTCACATGAACAAAATCACATGGGGGCGGGTGGCAGCAATGTGTTTCGTGTACCTTTGTTTGGTTGGACAACATAGCCCAAGACAAAACAGAGGCAGCACAAAAAACTAACAGGCAATTAACGTAACTCAAGGACAAATTAAGGACAAACAAGCGCAAAGGCAAATCAAGCACAAGTGCTCTATTTAGATTGCAAAAACGCCCTGAGAATGTAGACCCGTGGATCCAAGATCCAAGACAGCTTTGGGTTTCGCATCTACATGGTTGAGAAAGGTCGTGCTACATCAGCGTCGACCCTAAACCCTAAACCATATACCTAAACCCTAAACCGTTGATTTCTGGCATCTCGCTGAATGCGAGACTACACGTGTTTTGTGGAGTCAGGGAGTTTGAGCTCACGGCACCCAGTATTTGATTGGCTTGTGGACTTGCTGCTGTTCGCAGTTTGCTGCTCTTCCGGCACTTATGAGAGGTTTCCATATCCCTCACCATGTGGTCCGACAGCAATGGACAGATTTTCCTGGCAGCATGCACTGCGGCTGCCCTGTTCCATTGCCACATCATAGGAACACATGCCCTCACAGCTTTGAACAAGATGCTTGGTGGCCCAGTGGTACCCTTGACCCTTTCTCTTTTGTTCTGGGCAGTTCCGGGTTCCCTTATTAAGCAGCCAACCCCACAAAGCGGCTACCCTTTTTTTTTTCATGTGGTTACTGGGCTAGTAAGGATGCGCGACTACTTGCAAAGAGGTGGGCAACATGCCATGGACGCTGGGAGTGTGGAAGAGGAGATGGAGAAGCTGAGGGCCCTCAACCTCCGTTATGGCGGCATGGTCATTTGCCACCTCGATCTTCTGTCCCCGGTAGGGCCTTGGGACGTTTTGTATTTTCCCTTATTGGGTTTAAGAGGCCTATATGTCGGAACATTTTCAGAAGGAGTTTAGGGGGACGTCCTAGGTACGTTCTGCACAGCGTATGGAATCTTCTGCACGACCAGAATATACCGCACGCTTATGACTTAGCTTCCGCCTTCTGCGCATCTCGACAGTTTTTTGAATACTGGGCTTCTGGATTCTTCGTGTGATGTTTTTTTGGAATTTTCATGCACCTCGAGCACAAAGATTTGGGATGTTCCTGAATTGGGATGTTCCTTAATAGGGATTATAGTACCCCTATGATAATCTGTATTTAGGACTGTTCGTACAAGGGGGATCATCCCAACCCAAACCCTAAACCCTAAACCCTAAACCCTAAACCTCCAAAGCAGCCAAGGCCTACGGCGTGAGCCTCGGCATCAGCAGCGGCCACGTGGCGCCGTCCCGAAAGGCCAACGGAGTTCTGAGTAGGGAATGAGGGAATGAGGGCCAGACATAGACACACATATTTATTTATTATAAACAAATTAATATATATATATATATGTATATTTATATACATATATATATATATATATATATTTGTTTTTAATTATATATATATATGTATATATATATATATATATTTTTGTTTCTAAGTGTTTATATATATATATACACCTTTGGATGTTCCCCTTTTCCCAGTCCTTAATAAGGGCTATAGTAGGGGGTACTATACTCCTGATTAAGGACTGTTAGGAAAAGGGGGAACATCCCAATATATACCCTTTAAGGGATCATATAGGGGCCGAACTGCCTGTGCCCTACTAAGAACCAGCCAGCACAACACCCTAAACCCTAAACCCTAAACCCTAAACCCTAAACCCTAAACCCTAAACCCTAAACCCTAAACCCTAGGACCCAGAAGGTGCTTGGATTTGCAAACTTTGTGCTCATACCCATGGTCAGCCTCGGCGCCTGGGATCCACACCTGTTCCTTGGGCATGCTTGAGCTAGCTTAGGGCTTAGGGCTTAGGGCTTAGGGTTTAGGGTTTAGGGTTTAGGGTTTAGGGTTTAGGGTTTAGGGTTTAGGGTTTAGGGCTTAGGGCTTAGGGCTTAGGGTTTAGGGTTTAGGGTTTAGGGCTTAGGGTTTAGGGTTTAGGGCTAGTAGCTGTTCCTTGCGTTTGCTGGTAGCGTTGGCGCTGACATTATGTGTTGGCTCTTGTATTTTAAACTGGTATTCCAAGTTCACGGCTCTTTTGTTGCATGTTTCGTTCGTGCATCAGCGCCACGATGATTGATATGCGTAGCATGCATCCGCTGCTTTTGCTACAGCTGCCGCTGTTGCTACAGCGGCTGCTTTTGCTGCTGTGGTCGATCATGTTATTGTTACCGTGGATCCCTTTCAAACCCTCAAAGCTCCTGTGACACTCACCAAAGATCGCCTGTTTTGAGGCACACAGCTGGTTTGCGTGCCAAAACGGAAGAGATTTGATGCGGAGGGTTCCAAGTGGCGGCTTTTGTTGCAACAAGATATGGGCTCCCAGTTGCTAGTTCTGCCTCTTATAGTGAAGTGACCACCCTCCATTCCGCGAAGAGTCGCGGCAGAAGACTGGGTTTAGGGTTTAGGGTTTCGGGTCTAGGCTTTAGGGTTTAGGGTTTAGAGTTTAGGGTGGGTCTGAAAATGGCAGAATGGCAGAACGGCTCCCACATCAGGTCGCCTGTGGGGCACGGATGATCGATTTCATTTGCGCGGTGTTGGCGAATGGGGGTGGGAATGGCACACAGCCTCCAGCGAAGGCCCGTCGAACCCATTCAGCCTTCGTCGTCGTCGAGACCCTGGCCTTCGTCGAACCCGCCCCCCGGAAGGCCCTTGCGGCCTTCGTCGAACCCTCCGTCCTTCTTCGAACCTTCGCCTCGTCTGTTGCTTTATCGGCCTTTGTCGAACCCCCCTACCCCTTCGTCGGACGTCTCTGCCTGTTGGTGTGGGCCTTCGTCTAAGTTTCCCGGCCATCCTGCTCTTCGACCATCCTGATGCGTTTCTGCATTTTCCCCTTATCATCGTTGCTGCTGTTGTCGTTGTTTTCGTGGATGCCGCTTTTGTTAGTGGCCATCTTCCTATTTTTCAATTTGCTTGTGTTGCTTCCTGTTTGTTTTTGTGATCTGTGTCTTGTCTTTGCCTTGATGACTGTCATTGTTATTGTTGTCATTGTTTCCCTTCGCCTTATTCGGAATATGATTCGTAGTATAATTGTTCCCAATGTTTTTTCACAATCACGCATAAATTGCCGTGCCCTGCCGCAAGCAGTTGTGCCGTTCTTCAGAAGTGGCTAAACCCTAAATCACACGGCTCAAGCCACCTTCCGGCTGCAATTTCGCCCCAGTGGGTCCAGCTGGACCTTTCGTCGACAACCCCGGCTCAGGCGACGTTGGACGCACCGCAGTGTCGACATCATCACCCTCTGCAGAGTCACGCACCATCTCGTCCATGAAGCTCGCGATCTCACAGGCTTCTAGCTCATAGTCCATGTCGGTCACGGTGGGCGCAGCAGATGCGTCTGGCGTTATCTCAGTCTGAGTGGCCACACACGCATCAGGCCGAAGCACCCCCACACTCGAATCAGTCTGGGTAGCTACATGGGCGGCAGTAGCAGCCACTTTCGCCTCCTCCACCGTCTGCAGAATGCGAGAAATGGAGCTGGCAACCTCCCCCAGGCCGAGGCACTTTGCCGTGCGGCGGGGGTGGGCCAAGTTTGCAGCCAACTTGCGAACTCCACCAGCCATGACGAAGCAGCACGGGAGCTCAGGGAGTCTCGGAAATATCCGGAAGTCTCGGGCCCTTTTGCAAGCTCGGGCATGGTTGCCTTGGCTGATCGGTGGCTTCAATAGTACCTTGGTATGCTGGAGACCGATTCGGCATGACTTGCCCCCACCACCTTGGACGGCCTCATCACAGATGCGCGACACAGTCTGTGTAGAATGCGCCGAAGCTCAACGGGCCCCAGCACGAGCAATGAGAAGAAGAACTGCGTGATCCTGATGCGTGCTCTCTTGAAGTCTCGCCAAGACATGCTTTCCGGGTCGTCAGGCAACCAGTGAATTCCTAAGCCAGCTCTTTGTATAGTGCATGAGTTCAGGGGCGAGTTGAACTCGGACGCTCAGAAGAAGGTCTGTTTGAGTATTGTGTACTTCGGTCGGTTGTTTGCGCTTGCTTTGTTGCTTGGGTGCACTTCTGGTTGAGTGAGTTTCTTTGCATGTTGCTCGTTGTCCAGTGCTGAGCTCCTCGGCTATGCCAAGTTGCAACTCCTTGGATGTGCGAATTAGTGCGAATTCGTGCAAGCTGCGAACCCAGATTGTACCTCGCCTGGCCTGTCCGAGTGAGAGCGATTAAACCCCTAAATCATACATATAAACCCTAGAGTCCCTGAAGCTCAGGCCGAACACCGACACGGGGCTGCGGTTTCAAGCGATCACAATCGTGCACATGATGGCTGCATTCCTATACTTGGACATGACTATGTTTATTCCATCTGCGCTCCTTCAAAGCTTGATCAGCGTAGCAGCGTCCGCTTACTTCAGAGGCAGCTCACAGCTGACTGCGGAGTTCGTCTGTTTGCATGTGTGGATACTGCTTGGGCGAATCGGCATCCTATGCTTGTTCGAGATTGCAGTGCATAACTACCTGGGGTCGAATCAGAAGTTGGAGAAAGCCCACAGTATGATTGCAGGGTTCCAGAAGATTCTGAAACTTGGTAGTGTTGCGGATATTCTTATATTTCCCTTCCTTCCCTTTTCAGGGAACCTTTCATAAATTATTTTTCAAGAGGCTCTAAAGCACCACTCAGGAAAGGGCTGAGCGACGGAAGCCTTCTACTTGATGAGCAGCTGCGCATCCATGGGCCTTCCACATCTTTGCAGCAGCTCCTCGTGGACCGGACAGACTTCACAGGAGTCGACTTCGAGTCGCTCATCGTGGATGCGGAGGGGAGGGAGCGCTTTGCTGCCTTCATCGAGGCCACCCTAGGGTTTAGGGTTTAGGGTAGGCCCCCAAACATCTCCCAAATTTCTAAAGCTGCCATGCCCAAATACACTCACTTTCTGAAGCCCTGAAAGCATCCCCAGTCCCTAAACCCCTCAGCTACTCCCCCAAATTCCTAAACCCTAAACCCTAAACCCTAAACCCTAAACCCTAAACCCTAAACCCTAAACCCTAAACCCTAAACCCTAAACCCTAAACCCTAAACCACATCGAGGCCTCACGTGCTGCTGCCGGGGAGCCCATGTCGGCACCGTCCTGCTTACGACTGGCTCTCAGATCTGGCTCTGGTGGCGTCGCCACTTGCTCCAAGCTCAACCCTAAACCCTAAACCCTAAACCCTAAACCCTAAACCCTAAACCCTAAACCCTAAACCCTAAACCCTAAACCCTGAGAACTGCAACCCGCAAAGCCGCAACAACATTGGTCTTCAGCCGGCTGAAAGAGGCTTAGGGCTTATGGGGTTTATGGGGTTTATGGGGCTTAGGGTTTTAGGGCACCCTAAACCCCTAAACCCCTAAACCCCTAAACCCCTAAACCCCTAAACCCCTAAACCCCTAAACCCCTAAACCCCTAAACCCCTAAACCCCTAAACCCTAAACCCCTAAACCCTAAACCTAAACTCAGGGGCTTGTTCGGGCTGAGGGTGCAGCACTGTAGATCTTAGGGAGGGGTTGTCCTCCTGCCGCCAACCTGTGGGCAATGTGGCAAGCTCTTTAGTAACTTAGTAGTAGAGTAGGCAACCTTCAACCTTTTCGGGGTAGTATAATCCTCTTATATTCCCAAAGGTTAACCTTTAAAGCAGCTAGGTACTGGACAACTAAGGTAAGCAACATGGACCATGTGCTCCCGACTCCCAACTCCCAAAATGGAAACCAGAAATGGTCGCATGACTCCTAAAAGTGTCCATGTGTCGGTGGCTTCTTATCTCTGAAAGCGCTTGTTAACTTAAGAACCTTGACAAAGAGATCACGATGGCCAGAGACAAAGCAGAACAGCTCAGATGACGGCCCTTGATTTAAGCACCTTCATTTCCAGCAACGGAACTTAGTCTTTGGAGAAGTAGAGCTAGTTGATGGTGCATTGCACCTGTTTGGTGGAGAATGAAAACGTGTTATTAAGACGTTCGAGGTCCTCCTGTGTTAAGCGACAACTGCAACTTCCGATAAAACGAGAAGTGCTCCCAAACAACATCTCGTTTTCGACTCAAGGCGACCCATCTTCGAGGCGAACAATTAAGCCGATTGAATCAAACTTGCCCATCAACGAACAAGCTTTTGCACTTGTTGTGTGTCCTTGTCTGAAAACATCCGTGTTTGTGAATTAGAAGGGTATATCCTGATTTTCTGGAGACTGACGTGAGAAAGATGATTTGGCGATTAACTTGCGCTCGCCATGGGGGAGCCGACAGTGTACCGTTCAGGCTATCGTTGGCGTTTGCACTTCTAAACCCTAAACCCTAAACCGGGGTGGCAAAGAAAGCCAAATTCTGAAGTCTAGGTCCAAAAAAAGCTTGAAAAGGTTGTACAAGGTTTCAAAAGAACAAAAGAAACCGAATTGCATTCAAAAAAGATCCCGAGTACCAAAAGAAGAGAGGATTAACAGGCGTCAAGAGGCAGCAAAATGCACAGAAAGTACAATCGAAAGCGCAAAGAGACACGAAAGGCACCAAAATCACCAAAAAACATACAAAAAGACTCGAAGGGTTTGGGTTTAATTCGGGTGGCGCAGGAAGAGAGTGAAAGTACAGGCTCAACTTCAGAGTGAGCCGAAAGACCCAAAAGGGTTTAGGGTTTAGGGTTTAGGGTAGCCAGCTGAAGTGACATGCATGAAGTGGCTTGCCCTAAACCCCAAACCCTTCGCCCTAAAACCCCCCAACCTCAATTGAAAGGCTCTGCCCCCTGAAGCCCCACCCCTCCACTGAATTGGGGGAAAGGGATGAGAAAGCATACCGTTATGGTATCCCTGAAGATGAAGTTTTGTGCATCTTACTTTCGCCGACGCCTCTGCCGAGGTTTCGCTGGATGCATTTCATGCGACAGCCCCTGGGATGTGCCAGAACTTACACTTCCAGAATACGTACTTCGCTAATCTTTCCTTATTTACTAGGAACAAAAGGTAGCCTTTTTTCTTCCTTCGCTATAGGAGAAGTATGAGAAAGTGCTGGGTTTTCAAGGTCCTCAGGTTTCTGAGAAGTCCGGACACTTAAATGCCCGTGGCCCACCCGGTTTGCTCAACCCTAAACCCTACACCCCAAACCGTAAATCCTAAACCCCAAGCCCTAAACCCTAAACCACACCTCATGGGATGGCCGAATCAAAAAGTGCCGCCATGACACAAGCTCGGGTTTGGTGTTTAGGGTTTAGGGTTTAGGGTTGCGTGCAAACCCTCGACCCTCAACCCTCACGCGCGAGTGCTGGGCGGGTGGCGGAAAAGATCCGAAACTACCCTCCAAGCAGCAAGCCACACGTCACAAAAGAGCCTAAGCACCTAAGGCCCCGAAACCCCAAACCATAAACTTCAACAACACCCACACCCCCACCCCCACCCCCC